GACTTATCATGCTTTCAGGATGTCAAGAGGATGAAAGAGAGGAATTGTAAACAGTGATCACTCAATGTTATGAGTACGTTCATCTGAATTAAATAGCATATCAGATAAACATGTTRAAAGGCAGTGAGGTACATTATTTATATGTGTAGTGAATGGTAGCTGTGCTACCAATAAATGTTACCCGTAAAACAGGTAATTTAAATTATTTCAAAGCTGACAGCGGACATAGAGATTTGCACCCAAAATCGGCCTAAAATATAACTCATTTGCATAAACAGATTATTCAGAACTCTTGAACTTGTAAGAAAAGTTCACAGAAGGCCATTTGAGTATTAATTCAATTAACTTTTCTTAGATTCCAATGGTGGGTTTTAGATTGCTAATTGTGGCAGCTGAAAATATCAAATTTAGCTGTAACAAGCAAACAACCTGCAGATTTATAATTTCAAAAACTGAGATTTTCATTTTTACAAAAGCTAAAAAAAAATCCAGTTTGTAAGGAGACCTTGCTTTACTGACCAATCAACATAAGAAAAGAGATTTCTTAAAATGTAAAGTCACATGAACCATTTTAGGAGCAGAGGAAACAGAGGAAAAATTAGGCTGTCTTGATTTTGAAATTTTTTTATGAATAAATCTTACTCTGATCTTGAGTTTGTGCTCACAAGGCTTACAGTGCACAAGGGGTGAGTGTTSTTGCTAAGGTTCATTTACTTCCTTTTGACTTTTCATCACCTCTTCTCTAGGGCTTTAACTTAAAGTAAAGCACAATGGCAAACCGTGCTTTCTAATGCAGTTTTAAAGTCACATTTGTCCTGATTTATTTGTCTGTCTATTTTCACTTCTCATTAAGAAAACACTTTCCCTGATGCAGTTTTAAACCTGTTCCCTCTGTGCTGTTTCCCTGTAACCAAGGTAAATTAATCTGTAACAGTGTGTCTGTATTCCAGGTGTGCTTTGGCATAAAAGTATGCTTTCCTTTTTTTGCCACTGGCTTTCCCAGAGGCATTTGGCTGCATTGCATATCTTTTATTGATTATACATGGTCACATTTCTACAAGCACTTACAACACTGCTGTGTTGTGAAGCATGTTTTACAATGCCTCTACTCATCCCTGCTCATCACACTTCTGCATCTTATGTGTCTGCCTCCAAGAGAAATTCAATATAAATTCCATCCCTATGGATGTTTTTTTTTCTTCCAATGTGTTCTTGGTGTGTGTCTTGACACATGAACACTCTTTTCTTCTGAAAATGACACACTCATAATTATGTTGAACCTAACTAACTGGACAGAATCACAGGTTGCATTCYCGTATAGAAGAACAGAGATATTAAAAACACTTGACACACTATAATCAAAGGCTGTGTATAGGCATTGAGATCGTGGCAAGAAAAAAATACACTGAAGTTTTTCCTCTCTTTTTTGTGGAATTTTAAATAACTATGAGTTGGCTCACCATCAGAGAAAAAATATTACAAATACAGTTACATGTTTAGAAACAAACGGGGTAAAAAATAATGTATATTGTCATGCTAGCTCCACATCTCCACCTACAGGCTGAAAAAAAATAACAGCAAAAAATTTACCCATCTGTGTCTGCACAACTTGAATTAATGCAGATAGACATTTAGTGACTTACAATATTTGAAGTCACAATAATGCTGCGATGACTATTAGATTAACACTTTATACAGCAACCTCAATATGTACACCTGCAAATGTTTTGAATGATTTTGTTCACTGAAAACTGGGTGATTGTGGGTGAGGTCAATTAGCGCTGCATTAATGAAAATGAATAAGTAGGGTTGTATTTCCATGTGTAATGTCATAGTGCATGAAGCAATAAAGCCATTAGCAAAGTAAGAGTGTCAATCAAACAGACTGTGCATGTCTAACCAGCTGTGACAGGTCTCATCTGGTTGTGTCTATTAAAGGAAGCTACACTTTGTTATCAATAAGCTTTCAATAACAGTTGTTGGATATTTATTTTGGTGATGGAAATATCTGTTTAATATACTCAAGCTAATTCAGGTTAATAATTATCTGGTTATTAGTTAACAATACATCACTAGAATACTGAAATTGTGTCAAAGCTCTACATTTGTAACACGGTTGTTGCTGTTGGTGGACATTAGTCAAGCAGAAATATAAGGGCAAGAGAGGAGAATTAATTAGACGAAATGTTTTAAAAAACATCCCTGGAGATATGTGGAGTGGAGGACCTTTGAATGGACCTCATTATGTATTATTTAAACTAGGGTATTGTAAGTCATAACTCCTTGTGTCTTTTAATTTTCAAATCACTGCAGCTGCTGACATTTCTTTCTGTACAACCTTTGGTTTTAGTTGCTCCAAGCTGCCTGTGTTATTGATTTAAGCTCGACGTTAAATTGAGAGGCTGCCCACGTTTTTAGTAATTTAACTTTCAAACTATTTTCATCAAGAGCTCTTAAATGCTAATGATGCATGCAGGGTATTTTTTTTTTATCTCTGCAATGTCAATGTCATTGAACACATTTACAAACACAAACTTACTCAAAGAAGTGCACAAATGAAACAGCAACCTATGAAATAAAACACGTTTTCCTGTTATGTGGGATAGTTGAGCGATAAGTCGGCTGAAAAAATGCAAAACAGGTTCAACAAGTGTTTATTTAGATGGACTGGTTGTCCATCTAGTTGTGATACTTTATTTTTGTCATAACAAGAAGTTTCAAGCTACAAAGCTTATTCAGAATTATTCATTTTGATTAACAGAGAACAGCTTTTAAAAGCCATTGCAGACAGTGTTGTGGTTAAATAGACTGAAAATGGAGACTTTGCCCAAAACCTTTCTTTATAATGAACTCTAATTGAACTGTCTTTCTCTTAGTGGCCTATTAGTCAGCTGCACTTTCTTTATTACCGGTAAGTAATACAGCCTTTTTAATAAAAAAAAAAAGTTGCCCATTCACAAACTTTATGTCTACCAAGATAATGTCTGTGCTCTTCTTCTCAGAAATGCTTTTCTTTAAGTGTAAAAGAACATTAAGGAAAAAATGCTTCAAAAATGAGAAACAAACTGCTTTTGGATCCGTTTTACCATTTCTTTGGCTTCAAAAGTAAATTACTCAAAAGTTGTTAGAGTCAAACAATCATCTTTAATTTTAATCTGTTAAAAAATAGATTATCCTTCAGCATTCCTTCACCCTCCTGGTGGTGCCCTCAAGGGTCGAACGCAGCATCAGTCTTAACTTATGCGTTACTTTCCGCAAGGGCAGCAGGAGAGCTAAGCTTCTCTAATATGAGTGTGTGTGTGTGTGTGTGTGTGTGTGTGTGTGTGTGTGTGTGTGTGTGTGTATTATCCCTTTTTTTCAAACAGATGTCATGCTGTGCAAAGTTGTGTGTGTCACACTGCATTTTGTGCAGTTGTGTATTTGTCTTTGAATTTCAGACAGCTAAATCACTTATGTCTTTTTTTTTTCCTTTTTCTTTTTTTTTCTACTGGCTCTCTGTCTGCAGGGAGGGCGGTCTACTTTGATCTATGAAGCTAAAAATAATTTATTGAAAGCATGAGGCAGTACAGGGATTATATAATGTGTTCCAATGGAGAAGACTGGACATTTATGATGCAATTTGATACATATAAGTCTAGATCAGACCCAGGAGATTTGAGAAAATCAATAACATTTTAGCACTATTAGCGGCAAAATGTTTTAGTTTGTGTGACTGATCTGAGTTTTCACAAAAATAATATTTGAATTTAGCAGTTAAAGCAGCATATATTGGCTTTATAAGCAGTTGACTAATTATATATTTGTTTCTATGGAGCATGTGGTTTAGAAAGAAATGCTTATTAAAACATAAAATGAGTAGTTGTAAATATATATTTCACATGTAAAGTGTTCATGTGTTGTTCTTTGAATGTTTGGATTCTTCATCAAATATTCCACAAAGTGTTCTCCTGCATTATTTATGTTAAAAAAAAATACGGATTTGTTTCTGGAATAAAGCGTTTTCTATGTTTGACTTTTTGAAGAGCTTTGCATGAGAGACTTGTTTATAACATAAAGCAGCGATCATTACTTGGGGGTCTGTAAGCCATACTCCACTCACAGGTTCATTCTGCTTGGCCTGAAAAGAATCCTGTTAATAATACCCAAACTCAGTCAGACACAGTAATTGGTTCGCTCACTCACAGCACATGATCAGACGTGGATCAGAGACTGGCACAGAGTCATACAAAAATCTGCTGCCATTAGTGAACTATTGTTATCCGCTGTTCCATTACATTCATGGCACAGTAGATAACCAACTTCCACACTGCATTAGGGGCAAATTCTTGGTGTGTTTTAGAAAAAGGAGTATAGTCACGGTGTTACTCGAGAACATGTAATAACTGTTTCAGTTCTCAGAACTTTGCAGTTTGAGGATCATGACTCAAAAAAATGTAAAATGACTTCAGCTTCAGTTCTCTCATATCTTTGTCTATATCTATGTATCTACCAACATACAAATGCAGTATAATATAAATGTTCAACTATTGCACAAAACATTGTGACTCATTATAAAAGCATTACATATGTAGGGCTGCTGTGGCTACATTGCAGCTTACCATTATCAGTGTGTATGTATGGGTAAATGTCTGCAGTGTGACGCGCCTTGCAGTCCTTGGACTTGATACAGCGCTAAACAAATTCAGTCCGTTTGCCATTATTTACCCTGTTTTGAACTGGCATTGTACACCAGGCTGGGGCACAAAGGAAAGAAGGAAATTAAAAGTGGTAGAGTCATACCACACATGAGGTTACTGACTTCCAACAAACATAATGACATGGCTCATACTAGTACTTTATGTTGCAACTCAGAAAAATCATGTGATTTTCTAAAAAATAATTTATGCCTGAAACATCTTTGACCTTTTTTTTTTGTTCTTTATAAATTTAATACTGTATACAAAGATTTCTGCAAACCTAACTTTGTAATGTCCTTGTGCGTGTGTATGTGTGTGTTGCAGCTGGCCACATGGGACCCAGTTCATGGACTGAATGGCACTCTGACAGACAGAAAATTGGAAAATAACATGAGGGGAGTTGTGCTACGAGTTGTCACAGTTCTGGTGAGTTGGTGACCGGTGTGCAAACACGTGTATGCCTCCTATTTATTCCTGACCTCTATACACACATAGAAACAATCTGTTTCACCTCATGGAAAACCTGTTGTTCACACTGAAGAATGAAAATGAACTACTTTGACCTGCACTGTCATGTCAAAAATCAGCCTGCTGTTCTGTTGCATGTCTCTTTTTAGTTTTAGCCTTTTCTGTCACTCAACTACCTCTGCAGAGACACAGCAAAAAACATAATGAGAACATTTAAGAGAATAAAATGGAGGAAACGTTCATTTAAAAAAAACACTGAAAAGAAAAAAGGAGAATTAGAGAAATGTGAAAGATGAATAAAACAAAGCAAGGTGAATTTACTGATAGACAGAACCATTATCTCTTCATTATATTCCATTTAGACGTTTGACAGCAAGATGACAAAGAACATTGGAGCCTTGATGGTGGTGAGACCCCTGCTTATCAGCTCACTCTGTCTTGCCTGCAGCATTGATTTGATTACATCCTATAAGTGCTTTAAAGTTTTACTGCTGTGAATTCTTCATATCCTGTCTTTGAAGTGAGAGACAGAGAAAAGAGATAGATAATGCCCGACATGTTTGTTGCTATCCCCTTTTCCCTCTAGTTTATTTTGAAGTCTTTGATTTTCATCATCTTTAAAAGGAGAAGGGATATGGATTGTGTTTTTTGAATATCACTCCCTGGTGCTTTTCTCATCTCTGGAGTAGGTTGATGGTATCCAGTGATGGTAAAAGGTGTACTATTAGATTATGTCTTGCATCTCTGCTGCATCCTTTGTCTTCTGCCGCGCTGGTTGTGTAAATATGTTTGTACATGTTGCCTTAGTTGACTGATTTGGGTCTGAAGAACAAAAAAAATGATGTAGTGCTGTTTTTATCATATAATGGTTGTAGAGCACATGTTTTCTGTATGTCAGTGTGTATTATGTAAAGTTTTCTTAAGGTGCTTTTGGATTTTTATTTGAACTTTTTCTTCCAAAATAAATGCCTGTGAGATGCAAAGTCCTCATTGTTCTTAGCTGARGGTAATGTGTATGAATACACATTATTCTATTACCTTGTAGATCAATATTTTCAGTCTGTTCTATAATCTCAGTGTTGAATAGTTATTGAGTACTTAATCGGTAATCACATCATATTACTATTATTAGCACTGACTTTAAAGCAGTGCTATTGATCCACTTGCACTCTACTGATTGTTAGATGAATATTTAACAAGAATGTCTGCATAACTATAATTATTTTATTGTCTTCCTTGAGGCTCAGTGGAACAAATTGTTGTTCTCTAATGATAACAAAGCATATTAAACCTGGAAACGTGGTATCATCATTTTAAGCCTGTGCTTCAGTTTTCTGTTTGTTTGCAAGGAGTTGGATGTGCACAATTAAGAAATCTTAAATTATCAGTCACCCACTCAGCCTATTAATACTCTGATTCATCTTGAGTTCTTAGAATTACAGATTTTTTCTTTCTGTAATGTTTTGACTCTCCCAGCTTGCAATAGTGCACACTTGTAATGTTTTTCTACTGTATCTTTAAATGATAATTTTGCACCAGAAGTGTAAAATCAAAGACACATAAGTTCATTTTATTTAACCTAAATCCCCCTTTTTTATAATTAACAGTCCTTCGTGCCTTAGTCTGCCACCCAAAATAGCCTGTTGCTTTGCAAGGATAGTGTACATAAGATGTACATCATGCAAGTATAAAACCTCCAATTCCAATTGGTGTTATCAATAAAATTGTTGGTCACTAATGTGTTTTTCTTCTTTTTTGTTTTAAATAAATAAACTTACTACTCTACACTTCTGTTGTTAGTGAAAAATAGGGTGGGCCTCTAAATTTCTGCTTCAGTTGTAACTTCATAACTCATCTAAATTTTAGTACATACAGTTTGATTTTTTTATTTATTACTAGTGAAAAGTATAGTTTTGTTCCAGGGTGAGAATTGATTATTTTGCTTAATAGAAAAATAAAAAGAAAGAAAGAAAGAAAGAAAGAAAGAAAGAAAGAAAGAAAGAAAGAAAGGAAGAAAGAAAAAATGCTTAAAATATGTTGTTAAGCCCCACAAATATTCAAGAATCAGAAGAAAAAGAAAGTAGCCAAAAAATAAATAAATAAATAAAATAGAATAAAAAAGACTATGTTCACTTGTTCATTTTTGTTGTCAATTTAAAAAAGAATCACATTACCACAGCCCTATGAAATGGTGATTTACCCAAACAAAGGGCAACTGGAAGGCAGATTGTGGGATCCAACGTTGTTCATTAAACTTGCGGTAAACAGATAGAGAACAGAAGCCCAAACTGATGAAAAGCCAAATGACAGTGCTGATTAAGCTCCAAGCAGACACGACCAGCAGGGACAAGAGTACCGACTATGTACTGGTGGAGAACAAAGATGGCCCTGGGAGACTATGTATTGGACAAACTAACAATGAAGGAGCAACAGCTGAGTAGAAATTTTGAAGGGAAAAAAAGAATCAAAGCAAAATTCATATAAACCAGGAAGTAAAGCAGTTGGAATGTAAAAATAAAAAATAAATAAATAAATAAATAAATAAATAAATAAATAAATAAATAAATAAATAAATAAATAAATAAATAAATAAATAAATAAATAAATAAATAAATAAATAAATAAATAAATAAATAAATAAATAAATAAATAAAAAAATAAATAAAATAAAACAAAAGCCACAAAAGTGGTCACATACAAAGATTTAATACCAAAACCATTTTTACTAAGTAAAAAAAATTGAATCGCACACAATTTAAAACAAATACATTTAAATGAAGACCGATACATTTTAGTTAAACTGAAAAGGACCTGTTGATCCTGCATGTATTTCCTCAACTTGCAAAAATGTGCCTAACTTTTTATTTTTTTAAGTCAAAGATTTTGTTACATCATCCTATTACTGCAGGTGTAGTACGGTAACAAAAGTATTTTAATCCCAGCCAGTAAACAATGATATTAAAGAGACTGCTCATTAAACTCAGTTATTCCTAATGTTAAATTTTTTTTATAGAAGTGAATTGTTTAAAATGTAAAAATTCAAGCACGGGCCATGAATGGTCTGTGGTCTGTACCTTTGCATAAATATTGGGTCATAAAAATGATCCAATTTAAAGTGTTTTACAAGCATGAAAGATCATGCACTCAGTAACTAAACCTAAAATTTTTAGATTCATTTGTTGAGTTTTATTCTCATCTTCTTCATTGTTGTTTTCAACTTAATATATTTTCTTCTAACAATTTAAAGTTAAAATCTGATGCAGAAAATTCAAATGTTTTTAATATATGTTGTAAATAAGTCTTAAAAAATCATCAAATGACTTTGTCAGTGCTAGCATCCTGCTGGAAGCTTCTTTCAATGTCATTAATTTGTCTTTGTGAAAAGTCGCTCCTCATTCCCTCAATCATTTTTCTGAAAATGCCTAACGAGAACTGAGACCATATGTGGTCCTTCCGATCAAGAGGAGACAGGATGAACCTGTGCCAAAGGAATTACTGTAGAGTAGCATGCTGAGGGTGATTGGAAATTACAGATGGGGACAATATCCGGAAGATAAAGCAYAAATAGAAGAGAGAGTTTGTAGGATTCTGTGGATTGTGCAATGTTTTTAGTATGAGAGCCTAGACGGATTAATAGATGCAAGAAAATGTACATAGTTTCCTAGACATATCTTGAGCAGAAGCAGGGGGAAAGTCCGGTTTGGAAAAGTGCCAAATGTATGTTATAGCTGGTAAGTACGAGTAAGAAAAGGAAAGAACTTCAGAACCACAACAGAAAAAGAAGAGGTTAGCAAAAAGCAACATCAAGTGCAAAGTATAGAAGATAATCTAAAGGCCAGACCAAACTGTGCGCCCTGGGAATGTTTTTGTTGTTGCTGTTTATTGTGCATTGCTTCCAAAAGCTGAGATTGGAGA